AAAGGAGAAATTCCCATAGGGCTCCCAAAGCCCTGGCCAGAGCTGAATGGCTCAGGGGATGTGAATGGGGGTGGGGGAGAGACACAATCAGAGACTGTGAGCAAAGGAGACAATGAAGGGAAAATGTTTCTAGAACAATGGGAGCAGATTCAATAAATACACTGTAGAGCAAGAGGTCACCGGTGCTGTGGAGAGGCCACCGTAGTCAGAGCAGAAGGATGTGAGGGATGAGGAGGACACCGGATGGAGAGGACATGGGATCTTGGCCTTAGGAAGGCTGCTGATGGCATCAGGAGCACAGAAAAGGGTGGACCTTTGAGAGTAGCGATGTCCCCTTTGCAGAGGATAGCTGGGCCAGAGAGGCTAAGGTGGCAGAGGAGGCACCATTGAGAGGAATAACATGGTCAGCTGGCCAACACCCAGATGTTACTCCTGCACATGTTCCTATTATTTAGAAATTTTACTCAGCTTTCTATTTCGAATTACATAGCTCCAATTGTGATGAATAAAATTAGCTTCATCAAGGTTTTAAATTTTATAGAATGCTCTATTTTGTAGCACTCTACCACTTGAGCTTTTTGCTGGTTAATTGGATATAAGAGTCCTAGGGACTTTCCTCTCTGGGCTGGCTTCAAATCACAATCCTCTGAGCTAATCATCCTGAGTAGCTAGGGTTACATGTGTGAGCCATTAGCACCTGTTTTTCTGGTAATTAAATTGCTAAAATACACTCCTTGAAGGAATAATTGTTTCTTGATTCAATAATATTTTAAATCATAATACAAAATATATTAAGCATAATACCAATATATTTTAAACATATTGATATAACATTATTAATATTGATATAAACTACTAATTACTAATGTAATTAAGGTAATATTGATTCTATGTTTAAAACAATATACTTAATAGTAAATACAAAGTATAAATCTGTGTTAGACCAATAAATCCATTTTTAGCTTCTCTAGTTACAACTCAGGTAAAACCTAAAATATTTTAGTGTTGCAAGCTTTTGCTCTACTAGCTTTCATAAAAAATAACAAAAATCTCTACACCTTTAAAAGAAAATCATCCCTTTTAGGCCAGCTGAACAAGTGTTCAAACTCAACACAAAGACCTTGGGTAGTTATGTCAACATTGCAGAATTTGTAAACTTACAGTGAAATGCAAATGCAGTCTACTTTTCTCAAAATAACTGGGATGATGTGAAACCTGAAATCTCAACATGCTTCAATGCAGCAACAAGTCATGAAATGTACCTAAACTAGTTAACAAAAACTACTTTCACATTTTAGTAGCCATTTCTGTACCGAAAACTTGTTACTAGTACAAATTCACATGGCTGGACTTTGTAGAAAAATGAAAGTTAAGTTTTGTGATTTTAAAATTCCCAAACCATATTTCCACATAATTTAAAAAAATCTGAGTTAAGGATAATCTTGAAATTCTGTTGTAACTAATACCTATGATTTTGTAGTTTTCCTGAATGAGAGAATTCTGTGATCAGGACCCTAACAGGCTTTTCTTTGCAGAACACAGTGACTTAAGGAAATTGACAACAAAAGTAACGGTAACGGTTACTTCAGCTCCTAGTCAGCGGGGGTAACTGTCTGCTTAAGCCATGTGTCCTCACTTGGGAAGCTTCCTCTGCATGGGAAACTTCCTCTGGCCGAAGAATGGATGCCCAGAAGAAAGCCAGGTGAGGCCATCATCGTCCTTGGCTCCACAGAACCTGAGCACAACCCGCCCCCCCCCCCCCCCCGACACACTTCACAGCCAGAAGCTTTGCATCCACATTCAGAACATAGTTTTGGACCTCAGAATTTGGCTTGTTTCGAGAACCTGGAGAGGACCCAAGGCAGACCAGTCCAAAGGAAATGTGGGCTGGACAGCAGCCCCAGCTGAGGTGGGAGGAACGCACACACCAGGCTTCTGTGCTGTGCTTCAGGAAGGCGGTACCTGAGCCCCGCATGCAGCTTGAACAACTGAAGGCCACGTGCCTTGATTTCGCCTTAGGCCAAGGCCAGAGGGAAGCACAGAGTTTCTGTGCACAGTGTCTCCAGCAGGGCTAGGAAGGAGAGACCGACCCTCAACCCTCTTGAGTGGAGGCCCAGGCCCACAGCAGCGTGGCCCACAGCCAGACTCAAGAACACCTGAATGAGAAGGTGAGACTGGATGGCACTGAATTTTGATGTGTGCCATCTTTCACACACCCTTGAGCCAGGCAGGCAGCGCTCCCTGCAGCTTCTGTTTTCAATTAATGTGAGTTTACAGTTGAAAAACAGAACACAAATATTTTAAAGCATAATGCCTACATCCACTGTAGATATTGAGGAAAACACAGAGTGGAAGAATCACTAGGAAGGACACACTGGTGTTGATAAACACTGATGAACACACACCGTGTTACCTATAATACTAAACATCAGGCCAGCCACCAGTGGCTCACGCCCATAATCCTATAACTACTCAGGAGGCTGAAATGTGAGGATCAAGGTTTGAAGCCAGCTTGCGCAGGAAAGTCTGTGAGACTCTTACCTCTAATTAACCACCAAAAAGCCAATTGTGGACCTGTGGCTCATGTGGTAGAAGTCCAGTTGAGGGATAAAAGCCATATGAAAGCACAAACAGAGTTTGAGCCTTAGTACTGGTACACACACAGAGAAAGTAAAGACTTGGAACAGAGGTGAGCCAGCCAGCCCTCTCTCCTTTGTCAGCGCTTGGCCGAGCCCATCCTTTCTCAGCCTCTCACTGCCCCCAGTATCCAGACCCCAGCTACCATGCCAGAGATACATACACAGTGATTTACCACACATGGACTCCATTATAAACTAGAAACTTCCCTGTTGCTTTCAAAATGGATTTCCCTGGTGGCCAATCAAGATGAAAGTGTGGTTAAAAAATAATCCAAGTACAATGTTCAGATATATAACTACCAATGTTTAATAATGAGTTATTTCACATAACCAGGGTATCTGCACATAGATGTAACACGTGCGTGCACACACACACATACACACACACACAGGTATTTCATATAACCAAGCACCTCATACACATATACACAAAAGGAAATTCCTTCTAACAAAAATGACTCTAGAAAACTAGGTAGTGTGCCATCCAGAATCATTGGAAGTCCCAAACAATCTTTATTTTCACAATAACAACTGAGTAACTAAGCCAGGCATTGGTGGCTCACACCTGTAATCCTAACTACTTGGGAGGCTGATATCTGAAGATCCTAGTTTAAAGCCAGTCCTAGAAGTAATGTCTAAAAGACTCTAATCTCCAGTAATCACTGAAAAGCCTGAAGTGCAGCTGTGGCTCAAGTGGTAGAATATCAGCCTTAAGCAAAAAGTAAGCAAGGCTGTGAGACCTTGAGTTTAAGCTCCAGGATGCACACACATGTGCACGTGCGTGCACACACATACACAAAACTGAAGAATTAGAAATTCAAAGCCAAGTGAAACACGGTAAGCCCCTCAGGTACCCCTGAGCCCATGCCACCTCTGAGTGTACAGTAATACACATTTCATTGCACATATGTGCACAAACAGGCATATGTGAACACACACCAGGGGGACCCTGGGAAGGGCAACATGTGCAAGTCCCACACTCGCCAGGCTCAAGTGCTCGTGTGCCCAACAGGTGTCTGATAAATACACCAAGTCAGTCTCTTTCTTCATGAATCTCATCTGGAGCATTACAGAACAACAAAGGGAAGTTGGGCATAGAAGCCATTTCTGTTTTTCCACACAGAAGACCATCTGCCTCTTCCTGCACTGACTCCACAAGGCTGCTCATTGACTGAGTTCACCTAGCTGCAACGGGACTCCCGCTCACTGGTATTGGAGATAAGGCCCAACCCACGTGGCTCCAGGAGCACTGAGACCAAGGGGAAGAGCACTGCAAGGGGGGGGGGGCACTGCAAGTGGGGGGAAGGACACTGTGAAATGAGGAGCACTGTGAGGGGAGGAGGGGAGGGGCACTGCAGGGCGGGGGAGCTGCTGGTCAGCTGACCAGACACCTCCAGCTCCCTGGGGAAGGGACCTGGCTGGCTCCACACGCAGACTGCCCAGGGCCAGGGTGATTTGGAGTGGAAATCAGGAGATAAGGTGCAAGTGGCTAATAACGTTCATGGTCTCATGGTTCGGGGGAGGCAGTAACCTAAGACGCAGGCATCACAATGCTCCCTGGAGAACGGCACCACTGAAAATTTTTGTTTATTTTTATTTCATGCTGGCCCTGAGGCTTGGACCCATTCCGGGTCTCACGCTCTCGCTGGCTATTTCTGTTCAAGACTAGCATTCTACCACTCCAATCACAGCTCCATTTCTGGCATTTGGCCAGCTAACTGAGATAAGAGCTTCACAGACTGTCCTGCCCAGGCTGGCTTCTAACCACAGTCCTTAGCTCTCAGCCTCCTAAGTAGCCACGATGACAGGCTTGAGACACGGGTGCCTTATGCTTTTAAGCAAATTATGTGAAATCTCCTTAGAAAAGTTTCCAGATTTCTAGACATTCTCACAGAGTGAGACTAAAGGAGGATACTCTTAGGGTAGGAATACCAAGGCGCAATCCTGTATGTATATAAAATAATACCCCTCGAAACGAACTCCAGTAAATGGAAACAAGAAGTTTTGTTCTTTGTTAATGTTTTTGTTGTCTTTTCCTTTTGTCTTGTTTGTTAATTTTTCTTTGGGAGGGTAAGGAGGGCACAGAAATGGAGGGACAAAGGGTGAACAAATGCAGCAGTGGTACTCACTAGACACCATGTTGAAAATGAATTATACAACTTGTGGGTGGTGATGGGAAGGGAAAAACTGGGAGAGAGCAAGGAAGGGGTGAGGTTGTTCAAAGGGAAATGCACTCTTTACCTGGTTTATATAACTGGAACTCCTCTGTACATCATCCTTACAACAATAAAAATGCATGAAAAAAGAAAATAGTGTTATAGCACTATGAAACATGTAATTAGAAGTGATTGCTTTACTTACAAGGTCTCTCTAATCAGCAGTGCACGCCCCAGTCTGAAGCAGGACTTCCCCCCTTCACAGGATGCCCGCCGAAGGGAAAAGCGCGCTCCCACGTCAAAGCCTGCAGCACATGGAGTGTTCAGAGTGTGCAACGTGCACAGAAAGACTGAGCTTTTAAACAAAAAATGTTTTGTCTTTATCTAGAAACTGAATGGAATCCTGTTGCTTCAGATGAGCAAAATTCCTCCATTTCTTCCCTCTCTCTTTTCTTTCTTTCTTTCTTTCCTTCCTTCCTTCCTTCCTTCCTTCCTTCCTTCCTTCCTTCCTTCCCCCCCCTCTTCTTTCTCTTTGTGTTTTTTCTAGAGCTTGGATTCAGGGTCTGAGCACTGGCCCTAAGCTTTTGTGCTCAAGGCTAGAGCTCTACCATTTGACAACTCCACTTCGGACCTTTTTGGTGGTTTGCTGGAGACAAAAGTCTCATGAACTTCCTTGCCTAGGCTGGCTTAGAACCACAGTCTTTAGATCTCAGTCCCCTCATTGGTGGGGATTACAAGCATGAGCCCCCCAGGGCTTGGCTTATGCTTTTATTTTTATGATGATATTATCTTATTTGGCAATACCAAAGAATCACCTACAGTGTATTGCATATTTAGTGATATTTTTACATAAAATGCTGCTTCTAAAGGGTTACAGTGCTTACCTGAAACATTGAGCTCCTTTCTGCTGATTTGCATAAACTGATATCCCTCCGTTTTCAGTGCAGGACATGTCTTTTCTGTTTAAAAATAAGATTGATTATTTGCATTATGTTTTCTCTCAACTTTTTCAAATAAAACCAAGTCCTACCATACAACCAACTAGAAATTTAATATTAGCCAGGAACTAGTGGCTCACACCTGTAATCCTAGCTATGCAGGAGGCTGAGATCTAAGGATCACAGTTTGAAGTCCATGACACTCATCTCCAATTAGCCAACAAAAAGCCAGAAGCAGAAATGTGGCTCAAGCAATAGAGTGCCAGCGTTGAGCTCAAAAGCTAAGGGGAGAATGCCTAGGTCCTGAGTTCAAGCCCCAAAACTAGGAGAGAGAGAAGGGAGGGAGAGGGAGAGACAGGAGAGAAGAAAGACTAAATGAAGGAAGAAAGGAAGAAACTTAAAAATAAAATGAATAATTGTACTACACCTCAGCGTGTCTGCCACGATTTCAGGCATTTATTTATCCAGTATTTGTAGTGTGGCCTGGTACACGGCACATCCTTGATGTTAGCTATCATTGCTATTATCACCATTATTCCAACATGCTATTTATTTTTACATATTTGACGTTAATTAGGAATATAACTAAGTTTAACAGGTCATTAAACTTTCCAAAGTCTGTTCTGATAGAGGAGAAACAAGTGAACATTTGCTCTATTTTTGGTTGATCATGGGGCCTAAACTTAAAAGTCTGGGCACAGTCCCTGAGCTCTTTTGCTCAAGTCTAGCACTCCACCATTTTGAACTTATGCAGCACCACTTCCAGTTCTCTCATGGTAAATTGAAGACAAAAGTCTCATGGACTTTCCTGACCAGGCTGGCTTCAAACAGTGATCATCAGATCTCAGCCTCTTAAGTAGCTAGGATTACAAGTGTGTGTCACCAGTGCCAGGCTGAATTTAGATTCATACTTCAAGTTTGCACAAAAAATGAATTATAAGTACTCATAACAGTAAAAAATAAAATAGTTCCAATGCAATATAAAGTCTTCATGGGCTAGGAGTACTAAAGGTTTTGTGACTTTTCACAAGAAAACATTATTCAAAAAGTAAGATATTGATAAAAGGTAGGTCATTAAAATTAAAATGTTAATTAATCAAAAGATATTAGCAGAGTAAAAATGGCAGCCTGGGAGAAGGCACTCATAGTACACAGCTCTAAAAGGAAAGTCAAAGATCAGGAGATATTTATAACACATGAATCCCAAACAGGGCACTGCACGCATAATGTAAGATGAGCTCCCAAACTCAACAGGAAAACGATTGGAAATCTTGCTTTAAATGTATGTGGAAGTAAAAGCATTCCATTAAAAAAAAGGATATCCAAATGTCCAATTTGTGCATTAAAACTCTCAACATCATTGGAAATGGAAGAAATGCAGACGAAACCCACAAGAGACAGCATAGATTCCTGCTGAGCACATCAGAGCAGGGACGTGTGGGAGAAGGTGCTGAGGAGGCACCCCTTAGGATCCTGGGAGAACAGCCATCCTGCAGTGCCGGGCTGCTGGAAAGCAACGCCATCACCGGGGCGACTGCTCAGCTTCCCAAAGCTAAGGACACACAAACTCCATGACCTGGAAATTAAGCGACTCCACAAAAGCAATAGCTAAAAGATGAGTGTAGCTGACTCTTTTAGATAGGCCTAAACCTGGAAATCACCTGAAAGTTTATTGCCAGTCACAGGTGACTCACGCCTGTAATTCTAGCTACCCAACAGGCTGAGATCTGAGGATCTAAGTTCAAAGCCAGCCTGAGCAGGGAAGACTGTGGGATTCTTATTGCCAGTGAACCAGCAAAAAGCCTGAAGTGGAGCTGTGGTTTAAGTGGCAGAGTGCTAGCCTTGAGTGAACAAGTTAAGGAACAGCACCCAGGCCCTGAGTTCCAGCCCCAGGACCAGAACATATCAACAAGAGATTAAAGCTTTCTGAATACAATGAGAAAAAAAAAAAGAGGGAACCAATGATATATCGTAAGTAGATGGATGTCAAATATATAAATCAAGTTGATACGTATCATTTCTACTTAACTACATAAATATCAGTTCTATTCCTTTTATATGGACTTCAAAAGCTTATGAAATGATTCTGTGTCCACGGCGGTTACCCTGCGAGGTAGAACAAGGCTGGGATAGAGGTTTGTGAGCATCCTGAGGGAATTCTAGCTTTGATCTGAGTGAACCAGACAGAAGTATGAACACACAGGTGAAAAGCCCTTGTACAGTACATTTAACCTTCGTTGACTATAGCGGGCCTAAGGCCAGCACCATGAAGGAGAAGATCATCTCTTTGAGAAAACGCTGTCATCCAAAAACCCTCCCCAAACCCAAATCCTACTTACATTTTTATAAGGGCTATGAACAACTACAGGTCTATACTTAAGATATATATCATATATCTATCTTACCAATCATTTATGTATCCATCTATCCGTCATCTACCATCTATCACCTGCCTTCCTGCCTATCTGTCCATTCATCTGCCTGCCTGTCTGCCTGTCTGTCCATCTGTCTGCCTGCCTGCTTGCCTGTCTGTCCGTCTGCCTGTCTGTCCATCCATCTGCCTGCCTGTCTCTCTGCCTGCCTGCCTGCCTGTCTGTCCATCTGTCTGCCTGCCTGTTTGACAGATCCATTAGATAATGACAAAACAAATCTCAAGGCAACAGGAAGGAATGAGGGAAGGCATGCGGCCTGCTTTCCAGGGACTTACAGAATATTCAGTAATGTCAAAGTAACAAACCTGCCACTTTGAAATGAATGGACTTCAACTCCTGCAGCACTCCATGTGGTTGCACACGAAGTCTTTTACTCAGGAAAACCAAGTATTGTTTCCTATCGTTAGAGCATGTGCTTTGTTGTAAAAAGCTAAGCGACTTAAATGTTATTTGGGGAGTAAGATTGGAGCCACAAAAACTGGTAGTTTCGTGAATCCTTTGCATAAAAATGGCATAATTTATTTAAATTATGCATATTCATATGCAGTTTAATATTAATGTACCTTAAAGACTCACAGATCAGACTCAAATATTGTATCAGGTTATATTATGTAAAGGCAAATGTAGATGTCCCTAATAAATTCATGTTCAGATGCGGGTGCTGAGGGCTAGGCCTGCCTCCCTCCTAATACCTCCAGGTATTAGGGCTCCGAGAGGGCTGGGTGGGCCTGAAGGAGGCCTAGGAAGCTGACAGGCAGCTGGGCCCTGGTTGAGCCTGGTTCATACCCAAAGAAAATGTGTGCTTCTTTGAAGGTTTTGACCCCTTGCTCCTTCCAAACCTCACACCCCTGAGAACTTGAGAACAAGCAGTCCAGGAAACCAGGGACCAACCAGCCGCTCAGGACAGGGTCTGGGTGAGACCTGCCTCCTAGAACCTGCTTCCCCCCCTCTGCATTCATCATTTCTTCTCAAAGGCATGTTTAAGTAACCGGCAGCATGTTCAGAAATTCAACTTCATTTATGTTTCACTGACAGTCCTGGGGCTCAAGCGCAAAGCTTCCTGCTCTCACTTGGCTTTTTCCACTCAAGGCTGGTGCTCTACCACTTGAGCCACAGCACCACTTCTGGGTTCCTGGTGGTAAATTGGAGGTAAGACTCTCATGGATGATCCTGTTCAGGCTGGCTTTGAACTGATCCTCAGATCTCAGCCTTCTGAGTAGCAGGATTACTGGTGTTCCACCAGCACCCAACTCATTCTTTAGTAGATATGCATTTGCTCCCAGTCTATTCTAAACACATGCTTAAAGTTAAATCTCTTCACACGTGCGTGCTCGCATACACACGCACACACAGTATCATTCTTTGCCTTAATTTCTTAATCACTTGCCATGTTTTCACCTACCGGTATGGCCTCCTACATGTTGCGATCAGATCACACCCTTTTTAAATTAAATTTATTATTAACTGCTGCACAAAGATGTAAAAAAAAATGCTATGTATTAATACCAGGGACATTTTGGAGATGATCTCCAAACCCAGGAAACAAAGCCCAAATAGACAAAAGGGAGGAAGCCCGCTTTCCCTGTCATTGTCTGGTGTCTTCTACACCACTCACATGAAAGCCTGAATTTACTATAGCACGTATGGACACATAGAAATATACTAGTTGGCCCTATATTTTAATGAATTTTCAAATTATTTTTAAACAGTTGAAGAAAGAGGTTCCAACCAAACATGTCAGTTTGTGAATGGTGCATCTTGATCCGTGTCGCCCCTTCCAGGGCTCTCCCATCCCTCCCAGCCCCACCCCTCCCCTCCAGAGACCTGGTTTTGTGTTCACACTGTGCATGGAGTGCTGTGACTGTGTTCTTCCTCCCTTCTCATCTCCATCTGCCCTTCCCCTTAGGCCCACCCATCCTTATTAATTCATATATTTCTTTGTTTATTGCCAGTAGCAGGGCCTGAACTCAGGACTTCATTCTCCCACTGGGCTTTATTGCTAATCATGCTCTTCCACTTGCACCACATTTCTAGTCTGGGGTTTTGCTGGTTAATTAGATATAGAGTCTCACAGATTTTTCTGCCTGGGCTGGCTTTGAGCCTGGATCCTCAGATCTCAGTTTCTTGAGTAGCTAAGATGACAGGTGTGAGCCACAGGTGTCCAAACATACTTTTCATATTTTTCTCCTAATTATTCACTGAAAATATGATGAATTTCCTATCTCTTCACCAAGCCCTAGGACCAGTGACAGTTGATTCTTTGGGTTCCATAGTTTCCAACTGATTGAAACCCAGAACTGTGTGCCTGCTCAGCTGTTCTTAATATTCCTTGTACAGAAACTAAACACATCATTTGACTAGTTGATTTTTTTTCCTTTTGTGCCAGCACTGGGGCTTGAACCCAGGGTCTGGGTGCTGACCCTTAGCTTTTCCACCCAAAGCTGGCACTCTACCACTTGAGGTCTCTTTGATTTTCCTGATTCTAACTATCCATGGGAACACACAGCCTCTCTCTGGAATTCTCACTCCCTCAAAAGCTCAACTGAAACATGCTGAGCTGGGCAGGAGTTCTGCCTGACATTGACAGCGCTCTCTGAGGAGGAGAGGGGAGGTGGGGGAGGGGACGCCCATCAGCCACCCAGGCTGGCATGCTGGCCTTTAGTAAATTGATGGGAGAAGCCTTATGTGCTCTGCATTTTTAAAAGCTAAAAGAGGGACTGGAGGTATGGCTGGGGTGGTAGTGCACCTGCTTGTGAGTGAAAGTGTCAGACCCTGAGTTCAAATCTTAGTCCTGAAAGAAAAAAAAAAGAGAAACTTCAAAGCTAGAACAGACTTTTCTCATTGAAGAGAGGGGACCTCAGAACCCTCACACCCTCCTCTCGGCCTTTGGGGCACGGGTACACATTTCCAGTACACTAGATAAAATAGTGCAATGCTGTGCTGAAGGAAGACAGATGTTCACAAAATAGACAAAGTACACCACACCAGAATATGATGGAAATTATATGAAAATGAGACCAAAGGACAGAAAAAAATGGGAGCACAGCTATTTTAAGAATGAGTTCACAAAAGGTCAGGAAAGCATCTTCAGTGCTTGGCTTTGCTTAAAATACCTAATAATCTTCTCCCTCTTTATCAGCACCTGGATCAAAATACCTGTAGTTACCATCTCCTTCCTCATCAGCACCAGACCCAAACACCTGTAGTTACCACATCTCCCTCCTCATCAGCACCAGTCACTCCCCATCCCCTTCAAGTCTACAAAGGGCATTGTTCAGTGCAAGGACTTTTATATGATACCCTATGGAGCAGAAGGATTTCTAAAACATCCAAAAGAAAACTCTCTGTATGTGAGCATACTTTCTGCTTCCAGTTTAAAAATGAAAACTCTGTCTGTGACATCACTTTCTGCTTCCAGTTTAAAAATGAAGCATTATTAATAAAAGCCACCTTTCAGAATAATAATTTTTCTTCTAATAATTAATAGAAAAATCAACTTATCAACTTACATATACATTGGGCTGATAATCATTTCAATCTAGACAGTTTACACAAAGCATTACTGTAAGTTAAAAAAAATTATCATTTTGCTGGATGTCAGTGGCTCATGCCTGTCATCCTAGCTACTAAGGAGGCTGAGATCTGAGGATTTCGATTCAAGGCCAGGCAGGGCAGGAAAGTCTGTGAGACTCTTATCTCCAATTAATCACAGAAAAATCCAGAAGTGGTTCAAGTCATAGAGTGCAATCCTTGAGCACATGTTCAGGGACAGGACCCAGGACCTGAGTTCAAGCCTCAGGATCAGCAAAAGAAAAAAAAAGAAAGAAGTAAACTCATTTTAATGTTATTTCATCAATTTAATATTTTACACTGGTTTTCTGTATTTTAACACTCATATGATCATTTCATACTTCTACTTAAACCCATTCAGGAAAATAATTAACTCATGTGATTTCTACCATATAGGAAACTGTGTTAAAGAACTGCATAAAGTAAGTTTTAAGATTCTCTAGACTTTTTTTGGTTGGTGGGGGTGGTAGTGGGGTTTTTTTGTCTTTTTAGAGGGTGCAAAGGGGAGGCACAGGAAGGGAGGAGGAGGGTGAATGAATGCAGCCTGGTGCCAGTAGACGCTGTGTAGAAAACGAACCATGGAACCCATGGGCAGGGGCAAGGAGGGAACATGGCGGGAGCGAAGGAAGGAGTGGCATTGTCAAAAAAGAGTATTCACGACCTGACTTATGACATGGTAACTCCCTGCAGAACACCTTAAAAATAACAATGACATTATATTTTTAAAAAGATTCTCTAGCCAGCATTGTGTGCGTGCATGTGTGTGCACATATCTGGTGCCAGTATCGGGCTTGAACCCAGTTCTTTGAGATTGCTCAGCTTGCTTGCTCTGCTAGTGCTCTACCACTTGAGCCATACCTCCAATCCAGCATTTTGCTGGTTATTTAGAGATAGAACTTCTTGGACTTTTCTGTTTGGGCTGGCTTTGAACCATGATCATAGCTCAGCCCTCTGATTACAGGCGTGAACCACTGGCGCCGAGCTATATATAGATTTTAATACAATTCTCTTCCCCGCTTTCCTTGGGCAAATAATTGTACTAAAACCATGACATTCAAGTTGAATTTTATTGTTAGTTATTTTCAGTATGGAAACACAAATATGCTTTATCGCATAATGTCAATATTAGAGGACTTGCTAAAGTAAGAAAAGCAATTAAATGTGTCCTTCAGTATTTGAAAGTTCATATGACAACTGAATCATCCCACATCACAACTGAATCCTACTCAACCCGGTACAGTGTCGCAGGAAATTGCTCAAGATACACTAGAAATAAAGTGAAGTAATTGAAAGGCTTGGTTATCTTCTGTACATGAAGTTTTAACAGGAAACCCTTGACAAACTCGGCGTGCAGGGCTGAAACCCTAGCCTCTCCCTCAGATTTGCTATATTTTATTTTTAGCTGTAATCGCTTCCCTCCGGTAAATGTGAGTGACCACAGGGGCAGGTCTGCACATGAGGAAACCAAAACGGGCTGCCTGCCCTGCACACGGACACGGGGGGATAGGCACGGAGCCCCACGGCCGGCTTCACATCCTCTGGGGACCCTGTGCCACACTGACATCACCAACAAAACAGACAACACACCAGTGTGGAGGGGCTTGGGGACATTTGGAGCTGAGTCTCTTGGGCCCTGTGTGCTGAAAAGACCAGGAGTCCGCACACGCTTCTTCTTTAGAGCAGGGTGTTGCCGTGAATCTTGTTACCATTTACAATGATTTTAGGTGTGTGCCAGTCCTAGGACTTGAACTCAGGGCCTGGGTGCTGTCCATGAGCTTCATTACTCAAGGCTGGTGTTCTACCCCTTGAGCCACAGTTCTACCTCCAGCTTTTTGGTGGTTAATTGGAGATAGTCTCATGGACTTTCCTGCCCAAGCCAGCTTTGAACTGTGCTGCTCAGATCTCAGCCTCCTGGGTAGGTGGGATTACAGGGATAAGCCTGTGATTTTAGACTCACACTTCAAAGGGGTTAATTTGGTACGCATTTTGGTACAAGTTCTGCACAGAGTATGACCTGATTAACATTACGGATAGCAGAGTAAAAAAGCATAACACCCAGTCTGGAAAAATCACACTAAGAAATGCAAGCCAGACCCAGACAGAGACAGACAAAGGACGTGTATTCTCCCTCACACGTCCTGAGACAAAGGACGCCTGGCACCAGAGCATGCAATATACACATGTGATCCAGGAGGTGGGAGGTGGGAAATGAGTCTGGGGGATGGGGTGAGGGAGGGAGAAGAATGATAAAAGGGAGACTGATCACGAAGCACTGGAAATCCTAGTACACAGGAGGCTAAGAACTGGGGAGAGTCATAGCCAGGCTGGCCAGGAAAATCCATGAGACTCTAATCTCCAATGAACCACTAGAAGTGCAGCTGTGGTTCAAGTGGTTGAGTGCTCAGGGACAGTGTCCAGGCCGAGTGCAAGCATGAAAACCTACACACACACACACACACACACACACACACACAGTAGCTGTCTCACACTGACCCTCTAGTTTGAGACATCGTCTACTTTGGAAATGAGTATGAGGAGATTGATGAACTGAACAGCTGTGAATATATAATGTCTGCTTAGCTCAAAAGGTCCTCCAGAAATGTGTCACCTTTGTTTTCCTCCTCCAAGACATTACAAAGCTGACATACAATTAAACCACATTTCCCTTTACACTTTCCATTTGATTTTTCACCTTCCCTAATTAAGATTAGACATGTCCTCATTCATCCTAATTAGTACTGAGTTTCTGTGCTTGTAACATGGCAAGTCATTTTTAAAGGGGAAAACGCAAGGCACTATCACACATCTGCAAGCACGTGCACATGCATGTCATTATAAAAACCAGCAGCACCAAGGGAAGGCTGGCTATACATGATGTGCCTATGAAAAATGAGGCCATTTTAGACGTTCTCAGTTGGCAGTGTGTGAAGGTCACTGGTGAGGAGCAATGGCGTTTGCTCGTTCTGACGGGGAGATTTCATCTGCAGCCATGGCCACCATAACAGGGTTTGGTCTAGTGATTGTGATTAGCTATTTAAGGACTGTGGTGACCCTTTGTAGTCTGACAGAGGTGACTTAGATACCTGATTCATCTCCGTCCATCCCAGAGGTGGAGGCCCAGAGCAGGAGCATCACCAACCAAGGCCAGAGCTTCCAGGAGCCAGAGGGTATCATGGCGCTCGGAGCAGTGGACCTGTAAGGCAAGAAAGGCCACGTTGAGTTCATTGTTTTCTGTCCAACTGCATCCAGAAGATGGGGGCGGTGTTTCACACCTGTCATCCCAGCTACTCAGGAGGCTGAGCTCTGAGGATCATTGTGTAATCCCAGCTACTCAGGAGGCTGAGCCCTGAGGATCATTGTGTCATCCCAGCTACTCAGGAGGCTGAGCTCTGAGGATCACTGTGTCATGCCAGCTACTCAGGAGGCTGAGATCTGAGAATCGTAGTTATAAGCCAGCCCAAGCAGCAAAGTCTGTGAAACTCTTATCTGCAATTAACCAGCAAAAAGCCAGAAGTGGAGCTGTGGTTCCAGTGGTAGAGTACCAGCCTTGAGTAAAAAAGCTCAGGGACAGTGGCCAGGCCCTGAGTTCAAGCCAAGGACTGGCAAGAGAAAAAAAAGATTTCTAAATCTGCAAATAACTGCCGTACTAGTCTTTTTCCCTTGCCCAAAGTTTAGTGAAGAATCCATATGGAATAATTCTGCACACTAGTGTCTAAACAAACTCTTTCTCTTTGAAGAAAGCTAAACACTAAAGCCATCATCTTTCGTATGCTGCATGTGCCAAATTCCCAAAGGTCAGCATTTTAAAATTAATTAGATATTTCTGGATGAATAGCTAGCAGCAGCAATTGCGATATTGAAACTGTATGTGTGGTTCTAAATACCAAACAGCTGTCTGGTGGCTTCCTTCTGAATCTCCATCCCGAGAGCCCCCTGGTCCTCATGCGACCCAGCGAAGCCCACCAAGTTGTTACTTCATGTCAGCTGGGAACTGCTAACACATCAATTCTAATTCAAAAAAGTAAACTGCCACATATTAGGCTAGTGTTCTAACTGCACTGGTGGCTCATGCCAATACTACTATGCTGCTCAGGAGGCTGAGATCTAAGGATCATGGTTCAAAGCCAGCTCTGGCAGTGGAGTCCATGAGACTCTTATCTCTGGTTAGCCAGCAAAAAGCCAGAAGTGTAATTGTGGCACAAGTAGCACAACACCAACTTTGAGGGAAAAGCTAAGGAACAGCACTCAATCCCTGAGTTTTTTTTCACAAATGGTAAATTTTATTATAATAAACTGTGAAATTAAAAAGAAAAAAAAAAGGAGCGGGGCTGATGGATTACAACTATAATCCTAGCTACTCCGGAGTCTGAGCCTCATGGTTCAAAGCCAGCCAGGACAGGAAAGTCCTTGAGATACTTATCTCCAATTAACCACCAAAAAGCCAGAAGTGGAGCTGTGGCTTAAGTGGTACAGCTCCAGCCTTGAGCATAAAAGCTAAGGTACAGCCAGGCACTGGTGGCTTATGCCTATAATCCTAGCTACTCAAGAGGCTGATCCGCAGATAAAGATTGCAGTTCAAAGCCAGCCCAGTCCCCGAGACTCTTATCTCCAATTAACCACCAGAAAACTGGAAGAGGTGCTGTGGCTCAAAGTAGTAGAGCATCAGCCTTGAGTTGAAGAGTCAAGCCCCATGACTAACCAAAAACAAAAAAAAGCTAAGGGACAGTGCCTAGGCTCTGAGTTAAGCCCCAGTACTGGTACAAAAAAAATAATGAAAGAAGAAAGAAAACTCAATCCCTGAGTTTTAACCCTAGTACTACCACACGCATGCGCATGGACACGCGCGCGCGCATACACACACACACACACACACACACACACACACACTCGCATGTACACACAAGCTCAAAACACATGCATTATCTTAAAGTTCTGTGGTTATATTTTCAACTGAGGATTCTATTAGCTAGTAAATCACTATAACATCATATCTGAAAATCGTGGCTTACTCCTGGCTCAGTTGTGAACATGTTATAGAACTTTTTTGAAACCCTATGTATTTATCTACAAATGAGAAGTACCAGGAATAAGTTTTCTAAAGCACAGAGATAGCCAGTGATGTGGCCTAGACATCGTGCTTTCCGTGTTAGTGAACAGCTATTAGCCTGAAAGTGCGTGTCTACCTCTCCCTCCAGCCTGCAGTTGATGGGTACTAGAGACCTGCTCACTCACCATCTGTCAAGTCAAAGGCTGGCATGCAGAGCTGCAGCCTTCATCCATCAGGGGGTGCCTCACCACATGCCCCCCCAGACTGAACCCTATCTTGCCTGTGCACATACATTTATTGTCCACACTCACTCTAAGCTCCAGGGGTCAGGGGTTCTGTCTTCACCACCACCATGCCTAGCATGCAGTGCCTGAAAAAAGGAAACTAACAGAGACACTTGTCAAACATACGTGTTTGTGTGCGTGTGTGCGTGTGTTTTGTGTGTCTATGTGTCTGTGTGTGAGGGTATATGTGTGTGAAGGTATGGGTGTGAACTTAGGGCCTGGGCACTGTCCTTTAGCCTTTTCCCTCAAGGCTAGTACTCTACCATCTGAGCCACAGCTCTACCTTGGCTTTTGCCTGGTCAATTGGAGATAAAGAGTCTCTCAGGGACTTTCCTGCCTGGTGGGCTTCAAACCATAATCCTCAGAATGCTAGTAATATAGCCATAAACCACTGGTGCTCAGGTGTCAAACTTTGAAAGAATAAAAGACTGCCAATCTATAAATCTTAGGATACAATGCAATGTACTACTGGTATTTAATAATTCTTTTATAATTCTTAACTCATTGCAGGGGTCTGTGGCATGAGGATTCTTTCTGTATAGTTCTGACACATCTTTATTGTTTGAGGTTCTCTTGCTCAGGCTCTGATTAAATGACAATTTACTCTGCTAAGCTGGGGACTTTTGAAAAGTCTTTGCTGAAGCCTCATGTAAAGCCCTTTATGTAAAACAGGTGTAAAAACACATGTCCTGAGCCAGGCATTGGTGGCTCACGCCTGTAATCCTAGCTACACAGAAGGCTGAGATCTGAGGATCACGGTTCAAAGCCAGCATGGGCAGGAAACTTCGTGAGACTCTTATCTCCAATAAACCACTAGGAAACCAGAAGTGGTGCTGTGGCTCAAGCAGTAGAGCGCCTGCCTTGAACTTAAGAGTGCAGGGAAAGCACTGAGGCCCAGAGCTCAAGCCCTGACCGACCGACAAAAACAAAAACATGTGTCCTAGATCCTTAACCTCTGCTAGTGGTGTCCTCAGAACCAGGGCCAGCAAAACTGCCAAATTCAAGACTTCCCGTGAAGTCTCTCTTCTTTCCCTTCCTTCCTTTTCTTTCATTCTTTTTTCTGTTCTGGGGCTTGAACTCAGAGCCTGAGCACCCTTAAGGCTGGAGCTCTACCATGTGAGCCACACCACTATGTCTGGCTTTTCGGTGGTTCATTAGAGGTAAGAGTCTTAGGTTTTCTGCCCAAACTGGCTTTGAATCGCAGTCCTCAGATCCATACTTCCAGGTAGCTAGAATTCTAGATGCCAGCCACTGGCATGAGCACATCCACCTAATCTTTCTGAACTCTCCTTTTCCTAATACTTAACATGCTCCCTAGATACCTGCCATCGTCAGGTGGCTTTTTGCCACCCTGGATGCCCGACTGCCTTCCATAGATTTCCTAATTCTTGGCTTTCCACAAACTCCTCTATCCAAACTGGCCAGATTCCTCTCCTGTCTGAGTTAGATGGTAATCAAGTTATTTTTAGTGACACACCTAAGCCAACGTTATCCCAGTTTAGTGTATTGTTCTTCACAGTAAAACATAAGCTTTAGACTGAATGCTGGTAGCTCACTCTTGTAATCCTAGCTACTCAGGAGGCTGAGATCTGAGGACCATCTCTCAAAGCCAGCCTGGGCAGAGAAGATCTTGAGACTTATCTCCAATTATCTACCCAAAAGCCAGAAATGGAGCTGTGACGCAAGAGGTGGATCTCTTGTCCACTACCGGCTAAGCATGCTGGCAGTAGAAGCCTTGACTTTCTTGCAATGAAGAAAGGAAGAAGAGGACACCCAGCCCCTATGGGGCAAACAGTCTCTGGCCAGGAAATTCCAGGATCTTGGATATTCAGAACATGCCTCAACGCAGAGGTGCATACCCACCACGCTGTGAGTCCTGACCCTGCGAGCAAATGCCCAGGCCACACAAGGCCACAACAATGTCCTTTCAAAGTGCAATTCCGAATGCACAACTTTCTCCTCAGGCCTCAGGTCTGTTCTGCAAGGCGTCAGGCCCCAGTTCTACAGACAAGGAGCAAGAAGGACTAACATAGCATACTAGAGCTCATGCAGAGATTCCAGATCTTGAAACACAAATCCAGGTGTTCATGACTAAAGCCTGTGACAATGAACCACCACGGTGTTTACTGAGACAAGAGACCAGCATGTCCTCACATACCTCTACCAACAGAAGTCCTGGTCCCCTCCTAACCAGCCCTCCGTTCCTTCTCAGCAGGTGGAAAGTGCAACTGTGAGCCCCACAGAGGCCCTGACAGAGCCCAGGAAGCTCCAGACCTCCAGCCACCCCTGCCTGTGAGAGACTTCTCATTGCATGACAACTGAAATACAGGCTGTCCGCAGATCTGCGCCCCCACCCCGCCCACCTCCCACCCCTAACACAGGACTCCCAGTGTGCTTTGTCAACTGGAGTAATTCTGGATATTGACGGTTTAAGAGAAAAAAGTCACTTTGCCTTAAACTTCCTCTTAAAATCAAGGACACTACTTTTTTAAAAAAAAGTGCTTTAAAAAAAATCCTGGTGAGCTGGTGTTGGGACTTGAACTCAGGGCCCGGGTGCTGACCTTTATTTAGGGTTTTTGCTCAAGCCTAGTGCTCTACCACTCAACCAAAGCTCTACTTCTGACTTTTTGGTGAATAGCTGCAGATAAGAATCTCACAGCGTTTCCTATCTGGGCTAGCTTCAAACTCTTGTCTTCAGATCTCAGCCTCCTTAGCAGCTAGGATTACAGGCATAAGCCACCAGCATGTGGCTTAAATATTCCACCTAAATCTATACGTAGGTGCAGGAAACACAATAAGCAATCCGAAATTTCATTTTTCTTTCATCAACAGGATGGTGTTCT